CCCCTTATCGAGAAATTTGGGTCGGGTTTAGTTATTTGTACAACGATTTTCGGTTGTTGTGTCCAAACGCATAACCCGAATCCAAAAACTTTAACATACACGTGTAATCAAAGGACTCACATTTTATTTAAGATAAATGTTTCAAATTTCCTACCACTAGCTTATTACTAAACTCAGTTTGCACTATGTACTTTTTTGCAAATTTCGACGTGGGTTCTGCGCAAAAATACTGTGGACGGCGTAGCTGGAGTGATATGCACAAGAAATGTTGTATACCTTTGACATGCGGAAGCCCCTCTTTCCCTCAACACAGAAAGGAGAATTCTACTTAGTAAGGGTTATAATCGCTAAGCGCGGCCGAAGGCAGAAGCAAGCGCAACAGGGGGTGGACCTAATAAAGTGCATGTTTTCAATGGCTTGGAAAAAGCTGTTGCATTAACTGGATTGAGAACCAGACCTCTAAATATTTTTTGATTTCAAGATAAATAAAAAAAAAAGGGGTATACTTTTTTCCATCCTACAATCCTAGGGGGGAGAGCATTAAAATTCCGACTTTACTCTTTTTGGGTCACCCTAATGTACATACTAGCAATGTTAATCCCGGGAACCCTTTTTTAGGTCCCAAAAATCCCGGGATTCTTGGCAAATAGTCCCGGGATTTTCAGGATATGTAATTTGCCTTGATGGCAATAATAGAAACTCCTTTTCTTCACCACTGTTGGCTATTTCATTTCATTTCATTTATTATTATAAAGAAAATTAGTACAATAAGATCCCAAAGATATTTTTTAGTACAACGGTAACTTAAAATTAAGACAAGAATAAGAGTTGAGAATAAAAAATGCATAGTACATCATGTCAAACTAAGCCTGACAAATAGGATTAGGCAAAACTTACAAATCTATATAAAACCAAGAGAGGAAGAAAAAATAAAAAATAAATATAAAAAAAAGTTAAAAATAAATAAATTATTTGTTTTTGTTAATTTTTGGCCTTTGTTGAATATAAATAAATAAAAATTAAAAAGAAAAAGAACGACATATAATATTCAATTAGCCTATATCTAAAAACATACACATTTACAATTTATATAGATAGCGAACCTCAGCTGATAATGAGTTAATAAGTTAACGAAAATACGAGTAAAAAACACTCTTAAAGTTGCTTTTATTTAGACTGATTTGCCGCTATTTAAACTCGACAGCGTGGTTGTTGTTGTCAATTCTATACATCCGTTTGCTTATTTTGCTTTTTTGTATAGTTTCAGGCAGGCTCTTCCTAAACTATGTATTTGTCAATGTTATTGTGGCTTATTAACATTTTATATTTAATATTTTTTATTGAGCTTTGTACCACGATTGTTTATTAGGAAAAATTGAAAAAGCAACAAAGTCTAAGCGGTAGAAGTTATAGCACTATTTCGGAGATCACCACATCTCCTCATCAGACTTCTTTTTCTAGACTTCAGCAGGGATCGAACCTGCGAATTCGATGTTCAAAGTCAGAAGTGTTAACCACTGAGCTATGAGCTATGAGTAAACTCTTGTTGCTAATTCATTTTCCTTATTCAACCAACTACTATCAAGTGCAGCTGATTTGCCGCTATTTAAACTCGACAGCGTGGTTGTTGTTGTCAATTCTATACATCCATTTGCTTATTTGCTTTTTTGTATAGTTTCAGGCAGGCTCTTNTATGTATTTGTCAATGTTATTGTGGCTTATTAACATTTTATTTTTAATATTTTTTATTGAGCTTTGTACCACGATTGTTTATTAGGAAAAATGTTTTTGTTGGCAATTTTTTTTAAATACGTCCAAACAGCACTCCGCGCCCTTGTTAGAAGATCAGTTTTAATTTAAGAGACGCCACTGCAAATAAATAAAAGAAATCGAGAGTCGGAAGTGAAAAGTCGACTTCAGTCGACTTCCATAAACAGAAATTCGATCAGTAAAAAAATTCGACTTTCAGGAGTAACAAATCGATTTTGGTCCAAAGTCGAAGTCGACTTTGCCATCCCTAATTTTGATACTGCCTTATTTGAAAAATTGTCTTTAAAATTAGACTATAAGGCAGCCGAACGTCAGAAAATAAAGCGAGAAAGCTGTTTTATTACTTCACCTGTTTATTGCGCCACACCATGATACAAAAAAGAAGGTAGTTTCAAGAAACATCTTTTGACGGATAATAAAATTTTTGGAAGTCTCATAAATTGTGAGTATTATCATCGGCGTTGCCACTTTGATAATATTAAAACAATAAATCGGAGTATTTTCCTTCCCATATTTATACCAATGTAATAATATTTAAAATCAAAAACCATTATCAGTGCTTGGTATTTTTTTACTTACGTAACTCGCACTATTTTCATTAAAAATATATAAAATATAGACTATTAAAGAAGACTTCATCGTAATTGTTCTTTTATTTTATAATAAAAACCACGCGCGCATTATGCTGTTATTTTTTCGTTTTCTTATTTTGAATGCAATCTTGCGATCTAAAAATCTAATTCTAACGAATGTTCTTCCCAAATAAAACATTTTTATATTTTGGTTCACATATACTTTTATATTTCTCATAAGATTTTGCAAACAATTAGCTTTCAAAAATTTTGATCTTAACGTTTCTAATGTATGCAAAAAACCTGAAGTCGGCTTGAACAGAAAACTTGAAAACCACGTATCAACAAAATGCAAAACTGCGTATGCGAGGTTGCATAAATTATTTTCCAGAGAGTAAAAACACTTGTGTGAGCAAATCCAATGTTTAGCAAAAAATGTCAGTTACGCGGTTTTGCAGAACGACGATATGTAAGTATAATTTTGATCACTTTCTTCATGCGTTCTGAAACCTGGCATCAACCCCATTTTCGAAATTATGTAGGTATCATGAATTTGATGAAATGTCATAATTTTATTAAAAGTCAAATGGTTAGCAACAACAACGAATGTCATTAAATGGAACTACCTTCTTTTTTGTATCATGCGCCACACTATGGAACTACAGCGGCGATAAGTAATAAAAACTGATTAGCGAATTCTGCAAAAGTAATTACGCAGATGCATAGCAAAATATCCAGATAACCCAAACCAAACACAATTATGGATAAAAATACATATTTGCAATCATGACACGAGCTTAAAGTAGGAGCAACGCGAAAAAATAAATTTGTAGAAAAAATTTTGATTTTGTCGCAAGTAATTTGAATTAAAGTTTTCCACTTGTGCGGATACATAAAAAGCCAATCCGATTGATGAGCAGTTTTTGAATATATCTGTGATCAAACATTGTTTTACATTTTTATAAATCTTTTGAAATGTATAAAACAGTTTACCTTGAAATTAAACATAATTTTGTAAGTGTAAAATTTTTCGAGTGCTTACTTTAAAAAGCGATATTTAGAAAGGTCCTAAATTATACTTAGGACAAGTAAACATTAAATATGGGGTCATATCTCAAATAGTTCCAACTGCGAGGAACTGCGAGTTCAACTTCTATTCTACCTTTTGTAGACCCACTTCCTGTAAAAATTATTGAATTTTTATTCTAGAGCTGAAAGAAATTACTCTGATATGTACATAAAATTAATAATATGCAATACAAAGTGCAAATTAAAGAAGGTGTAGATATTAATGACTCGCCAATCTATTAATCACAATCAACATTCATCCAAAAATGGACGTTTCTCTGGACGAGATCCGTTTTCGATGGCAAGGGTCTTGTTTGCCTTAGCTCAGCTTTTGTTGTATAAAGTGTAGGTAAAATTAAAAGTTTCAGTGTGAATACATATCGTGCACATAATTTAGTATGAAGGTATTGTAAATCTTTTCTTTCTGTCATTTTTAAACTTAAGAAATAGGAACTTCTTTAGAAATAAAATAAATGTGCCTGTTCATTTCCTCCAAAATTCATAAAATTTAGTACTTGGAGCCAGAAAAGTTGTGTTGGAGGTGGGCGCCGTAATAAGAAACTCTTTATTATCTTGCAAGTTGGAAAATTTGGGCTTAAGCGAGCAGGGCACACCGAATTTCATCAAAAAAGATTTTTTTTTTTTAATTTTCGGCTGTTTTTGTAGAATTACTGGAGGATAATGCAAACCAATTTTGACGATTTTTCAGAGTTAAGCTTTTCTCGTTAAAACCAGCATATGGTCTGAATTTCATCTAAATCGGATAACATTTACTATTTCCGCTGTGGGCGTGGTAGCGCGTTGAATTTTACCATTTTTCACATTTCTTCCTTCCTAAGTGCCGAACAGCGCATATACAAAATATCACTGTGCGCCATGATCAGCGTTGCCAGGTTGACGTTTTTTACGTCATTTCGACGTTTTTTGTACCCTGTTGACGTTTGGACGTTTTTTGTGTAAAAAATGACGTTTTTTAACTTCCCAGTAATTTTTCTTTTTTACTAAATCTTATAAGTAGAACTAATTTTCAATTGTTTTCTCAATAAATCTTTATAATCTTTGTGTTTTGCTGCAGCTGCTTAAAAAGATTTTTTTCTAGATTCTTGGACTAAGGATCCCGTGTTCAAAGGCTGGTTGTGTAAACATTTGAGGTTAAGAGGCTTGCTGTAATGTTTGCAATTGCACATTAAAAGCCAATTCAGGAAGAGCCGATTTATTGCAGCAGGCACGCTCGCAAAAGCATCAAAAAAGCTGTGCAGTATATAACGTCAGAAAAAAGTATGCGACTTTTTTAAGACTTCATTGAAAATGTAATGAACACAAAAAAGACTGAAATATTAGGTCCATTCAATAACTTTTACAGTAAGTACTTGCAGCGAGAGCGTAAAAGAAAAATAGAGAGTAAAATTGAGAGCAAGAGAAAATGTTCAGAAAAAGTTATTGAACGCAAAACTAGTAAAACCTTGCAACTTAAGCCATTTTGACACTTCTGGATGCTAAGTTTAAGGCGCAGTTTCCTTTTTAATTGGGAATAGTTCCCATCGTCATAAAAATAAAAAAATATACAATAGATTTAAATTTTTCATCCATGTTTTCATTTCACTAATTATGTTTCATCAAATCATCCTCTTAAACAGTTTGTTCACATTTTAATTTGAAACATAACCGTACTTTTTGACTCCTGCAAATTCCTGCTAGTAAAATTTTTACTTGCAAGAATTTGCAGCTCTCTTGGCTTGATACGCTCTCGAATTCGCTCCCTCTTGCAAATATTTTGGGTTATTGAATGCATTCCCAGTAAAAACTTGCAAGTACTAGCAACAATTCGTAACAAGTTTTTGATATTGAATGGACCTATTGTTATGCTCCTTCTTAGCAGAACGTAATTTATAATTTTCGACAACCGAGCCCCTAACCAAATGTCTACAAGACAAAAAAAAATTATTAAAAATCAACGCGATTATTTAGCCCCTTTAAACTTGCACATTATTGCCCTGAAATTTAATGGGCTATCAAACTGCATACTCGAAAAAATTCTAAAAACTCTGAATAAAAAGTTGAAAATCTAGCTGAAAATTTGCAGATTGTTTATAATTTTTGCATAATTTTTATGGATTTATATTTTGTTTGTTAATGAGCTTTGCTTTTATGGAAAAATAATAAACATTAAATAAACGAAAGAGAAACAGCCAAAATCGATGAAAATATTGATGACTTAATCAGCTGATCACAAGTGTATGTATAAAATGATTTTTATATTAACGACCAGTTTACAATGAATTTTAAATGTGCTCTGTCGAAATGACATTTTAATATACATTACGTACATATCGAGCCCTAACCGCCAAAATAACGTAAGCGACAAAATTTTATTTTTGATGCAGAAATGCATCTAAATGCTCTAGGAATATTTCTGCATCAAAAAGAAAATTTTGAAAAAAATGGCGGCTAAGGGTCGGTATGTACCTTTGTATACAATAAAAGTTTAATAAGAACAATTTTTTGTACATTCAATTGAAAAAGATGTTTTTGAGTAGGAAATGACGTTTTTTCAGACCAAGAGGGACGTTTTCTCATGCCGAAGTGAAGAACAAAAGCGTGTACAAACGAAAAAATATAACAACAATGCCATTCTAAATATGTTGGAGTAGTTTTGGCTACTCTGATGTAATGCAGGGATGGAGTATATGGTCGTGCCCTAGGACATCGCAATGTTAATTGGACCATATTTTTTATATGAATTATGGTTAATTTTGGAGTACTCCTTAGTCCTTAGGGAGTACTCTTTACACGCATGCATGGAGTAGTCGCGATTTTTGCAGGGCAATGTCAGTTACGCGGTTTTGCAGAATGACGATACGCTGTTATGTACTTTAAACGACGAAGTGCTTAAGTGAGAGCACGGGTACAACAACGACGACGACAGCAGTAGCCGAAAGTGAAAAGTATACGCAACGTATTTGTTGTTTTATTAATTTTGTTTACTTTGCTCTTTGTTTAGTTTAGTTTGTTTGGATTGCTTGGTTTATTTTGTTGGTGTCACTTCGATTGCTTTAATATTTTATTATGAAGCTTGCTCCTTTTTTCGCTTTTTAGGTCAGTTTATTATGCAAAGAATTAAGTAGTTTAAATATGGGTTTGATCAGTTTTGATAACACAAATATAAATATAACTCAAATATAAATATAACTAAATTATTGAGGAGCGACTTCAAAACACGTCCGCACCATTTGAGAGATTTTGATGGATTTTAGTACGATAGAAAAAACATACATTTCGGTTGGAACATCATCAACGATTATAGTGTCACGGGATTTTTAAGACTTAGGTACTTCTAAATGCAGTTTTATCTATGCATGTATGCGTATGTATTAATATTATACATATTAGTGGTATTCATCTAAACCGATAACAACAACAAACCGATCAAGCAGATAATTTTATAAGTTTACGCACTCTGTTACATGAACGACCCACACTCTCTTTTCGTTTACACATGCGACAACAGTCGTGTTTTCTTTGGTTATAAAGCTTTACTAACTTTATACTACTAGCACGGGGATAAACAAATTATAGAAACTACCTCACTAAAGTGGAAAAAATTATATTTACGAGATAATATCTATTTAAATAAATATACATATAACCTAAAGGCTATTTATTTGAAGCAAGTTATAAGAAACAATAGCAGAATGTCTGTTTGTGTATGAATTCATTTGTCACGGCTACCAAACTTTGCGGCCAAATTATCAGTGAAACAAAACAAACAGACGGGATAATAATTGAACCAGATCTCTATCAGGATCATATCGTTGTTGTTGAATTTGCGTGCAAAATTTGTATGCGGATCCCGATTATTGCCCAAGAAAACATAGACAGAGTTGCATTGTCTTCAGTTTATCAAGTTTATTCAGTGAAATCGCTGGATAAATTTATCAGAAATGTGTAAACGAGTTTCCATACAAATTTTGACAGTTCATTTATAAGGTTTACACAATTATAAGTTTATACGGTTTACAATGCATTTATAAGGTTTGATGAATACCCTTATTAGGGGTTGTTGTGTGTTTGGAAAATATGCAGTCCGTGCAACGGCTTTGCAAGAATTCGGGAATACCCCTATTGTAAATGTTTGTTGCATATATTTATGTCATGAATAAATCACAATGAACGAAATTTATTTCTAACCTAATCTATGTTACACACATACGTATGTAATAGGGATGTTAATTTTTCAGCTTTTTCCGATCGCGGAATTTTCGGGATGCCGTTATCACAATCCCGGGATCCCGGATTAGTCCCAGGATTTAGATATTCATTATTTTTCAACAACTTAAATCGAAAAAATTGCTTCTATCTCTCCTACCATAAAATAAATAATAAATCAATGGGTTTGAAACCCGCTTTTTTTATTTAAAGCGGCGTTTTTCTTCCTCTCTGACGTCAGGAAAAGATATGATTAATTCCAAAAATTATTTAAAAAATTCAATGCAATATAGAATAAAAATATGGATACCAAATGCAATGAAAATTTCTTCAGAATTTAAAAAATTAAAATTTTTGGATTCACAAGGACGAATATATAGGTAATTTTTAAGCTGATGATGTTCGAAGAATGAAATTCGAGGATGTTATCGAGTTTAAATAAGTCCTTAACATATAATTTTTTCAAAAACAAATATTGCGAAATTTCAAGGATAAAATTTTAAAAGGACATTTTCAATACTTACCAGCCCGTCTGCACCAGAAACTTGAATCTGTTTAAATTCTTCAGGATTTCGTCATTAATTTGTTACCCATATTTCTTCTTTAAGCACATTTCTCTGTATGTTTCAAATTATTTTTTAATTACTGACGTCAGAGTGAAAAACTAAAAACGAAATTTTACTATATTTGGCCCATGATTTCGCGAATATATTGATATTTGTGTTTAAAATTTACTATCGCGCGGTGTTATATGTATAATGAGCTAGACATATATAAAAAAATATTAATTATTAAATAAAAAAAGAAATATAGCCAATACTGGTCAAGAAAAAGAGTTTCTATTATTGCCATCAGTTCAAATTACAGATCCCGAAAATGCCGCGATTACTTGCCAAGAATCCCGGGGTTTTCAGGACCTTAAAAAGGCCAGGATCCCGGGCTAACATTCCTAGTATGTAACTGAATTGCAGAATGCATTGCCAAGCCTTACACAGATGTTTACACATCAAATTTCATGAGTAAATACTTTTTTTTTTAATTTTTTCATTGCATAAACAGGTAAAAAATCGGTGAAAGGTTCTTTTGACCAAACCTAGTCTGTTATATGCCTTTGGGGTCGCTGAACAGGAATCTGAAGTCCGGTTTGCTCCATTACTTCTGGATTTTTTTCTAACCTCAAAAAACATCTCGGATTTTACGTGACAGAGAAAATCCGAGGTGTTTCTTGAGGTTAGGAAAAAATCTAGACGTGATGGAGCAAAACGGACTTGAGATTCGTGTTCAGCGACCTCAAAAACATACAACAGACTAGGTTTGGTTAAAAGAACCATTCATCGATTTTTTTTGTGGACCTGTGTAATTTGTATTTCAACTCTATTCCTAAAAACCCTAAGCATAAATTTTAATAAAATTAGTGGGAACCCTTTTGAAGAAGAAGATTAAAGTGTTTTTGAACTTTTCGTTTCACAATACGTTGTAAATTCTTTCTACACGCTATTTTTTTTAATCTTCAACTCTTGGATAAGTGGCAACTTTCCAAAAATTTTCTAATACAGCTTTCTCAAACACTTTTCGTTTGGTACCCATCTTGTTATAATAATAATAATAGATTGGCGCTTACGTATGTTAGTGTTTGGCCGAGCTTCTCCTCCGATTCATGGGGTGCTGCGCCTTGATGTTGTCATACAAAGGGGAGGGGCCTACAGTTTTACGCCGACTCCAAACGGCGATTGTATTTTAATGAGAAGCTTTTTTTTATGGCAGAAATACACTCGCAAATTCGCCATTGCCTGGCGAGTGGTGATCGCTACCAGAAAAAAAACTATTTTGGTTTTTTTTTGGGTGTTGTGTTGAACCGGGCTGGGACCTAAGCCCTGCGGAGTGGTAGCGCGTACTGCGAACCGTTGCATCACAGCGACCACCAATATTGTTATATTTAATTTAATTTTAATATGTAATATTGTTATTGACAGGGACCGTAACGGTTATAAGTTTTATTATAAAAATCACTTTTTAATCATTATTAACTGAGCTTTATTTTTTGCTCGGAAAATAATAGTTACGTTTTAAGTTTTATTTTTTGCTCGGAAAATAATGGTTACGTTTTAAGTTTAATTTTTCGCTCGAAAAATAATGGTTACGTTTTAAGTTTTATTTTTTGCTCGGAAAATAATGGTTACTTTTTAAGTTTTATTTTTTGCTCGGAAAATAATCGTTACGTTTTAAGTTTTATTGTTTGCTCGGAAAATAATCGTTACGTTTTAAGTTTTATTTTTTGCTCGGAAAATAATCGTTATTTCTTGAGTTTTATTTTTTGCTCAGAAAATAAAACTTAATTTTTGCGTATGCGTATGCGCTTTTTTGCACTTTTTCTTTAGAAATGTGGTTCTCTTTGTTTCTGCCCTGGTATCTGTATTTTCATTACCCACTCCACAGTGGCGTTAAAGGTTCAATGCAGCCGCCCCCTGTCTATTCACGCATGCGCATGCGCATACGCAAAAATTAAGCTTTATTTTCTGAGCAAAAAATAAAACTTAAAACGTAACCGTTATTTTCCAAGCAAAAAATAAAACTCAAAACATAACGATTACTTTCTGAGTAAAAATAAAACTCAAAATATAATGATTAAACTTGATTTTTATAAGTAAAAATTCAAAAATAAAAATCAGTGCCGCTGAACGTACTCCGAGTAATAAGAAATATATTGGTTTACTCCTTATGCACGTAGCATTTCTCTTTCCGCGTGATTTTTTGAGTTGAAATTTCAAAGGATAATCGTTATTTGCGGTCCCTGGTTATTGAGCTTTGTTTATTATGAAAAATGGAAAAAGCAACAAAGTCTAAGCGGTAGAAGTTATAGCAGCTATTTCGGAGATCACCACATCTCCTCATCAGACTTCTTTTTCTAGACTTCAGCAGAGATCGAACCCGCATCATCGATGTGCAAAGTCGGAAACGTTAACCACTGAGCTATGCACACCCCGTAAACTCTTCTTGCTAATTCATTTCCTTATTCATAAATAAATGTTAATAAGCCACAATAATATTGAAAAATGTTTAGTTTTAAATTTTTATATAGGGGCCAACACTATTGAAAATTTTTTCTGAAACAGAGAATTCTCAGATGTCTTGTAATATTTCATTTATCTCATAAATTTTATTGAATTAAATTTTTCAAATAGGTGGCAAATCCCTTCAAAAAAATTTTAATATCTGAGCTTTCTATAACCTATTAGTTTTATTCCCATATTGTAATATTTCTTTTGTCTTATGAATGTAATTACATTTTTCAAGCAGGTTGTAAAATAAGCAGCATGAAATTATTAAAAAAGTCGTTTTTAGAGGTACACAGCAAGAAAAAATTTTACAACTTTTATGGTCTTTTGAAAATCAATGATAAAAATGTATTTGCCAGGTGATGCAGAATTTTATCTACCTTCGTTTTGTTCCAAAACATTGACTGTACCATGAAATTTAATTTTCGAGTTAATCTCCAAGAAATACATAAATTACCCCAGTGTGGCCTGAATTGTATTTGAGGATTCCCTGCAGGGAGTGACGTTAGCTTATACCTAACTTTAGTCTGTTTACGCGAACACTAGTGCTAACTATTAACTGTGTATTTTGTTCGAAAAAAGCTAACTACTTTTGTGGGGCGATGGCCGCAAAAAAGTCAGACCTGGATACCTCTGCATTACATGTCAACTAACTTGTAACTAACTACTTTTGGACATAAAATATCAATAAGAAAAACAAAATATTTTTTTGTTTTTTTACTTTTTTATTTACTTATTTATTTACTTTATTTTATTACATTTCATATTTGTTTACATATTCTGCTCTGGGTGGCCCCATATTCGAACACCGTCAGACATAACTTCAAAATGATAGTATAAAATTTCGATCTTCCTTTTATTTGTCCTGAATATGAAAAAGAATCTGCGAAGTTCAGAAAAAAAGTGTATTGAAAGTAATTTTTGTATGAGGATATTTAATAGAAACTTGTAAAGAAAACCAACTCCCGATTGCGTCTGCATGACTCCTGCACGACTTTACAATTCACTTTAAGTTGGTTTTGTCATAGCTAATTAAAAGTGAGGTATTAATCGAAATCTCGCCAAAAAGCTAACTATAAGTTGGTTAGTTTTAACAATTGATAATTTTTCACTGCAGGGTTGTTATGTCGTTTCCGTTTCGCAGCTGCTGCTTGCCTTAGAAACATTTCTTTAGTAAAGTGTAAACACTTTTAACGCGAATCACTGGAATTCTTCTTCTGAAATGCTACTGCTTTTCTGCTTTGCACTATTAGCCCAAAAAAGTAACCAATTTTAGACGAAGTGCCATCAAACGATTCCTGCCCCTTCTACAAATATGCTAAGTGGTAAGTTGCTTGGAATAACTTTCGGTCGAAAATGCAAATACAGTATATTTTGCTTTGCTGCCTTTATGCTTAAGTGGACACTTAAGATACCTACCCTAAAATGCGCACTAGCTGCATTATTTTTAGCATTTATAAGGAAACTCCTCCGATAGATGCATTCAACATACCTGCCCATTGGCGGTACCTGCCTTAAAAATTGTGCAACTATTATTAACTATCAAAGAAAGTATTAGGTTTACCTGCATTGGCCCTACAATTACCTAATTTTACAAGCTTTTATTTATTTTGCTCATCTCGAAGAACAACGAAAATGGCTATCAATTAATGTAGTTATATAGATAATTAAATACCATTCGGTAAAAATTTCCCTTGCAGTAATTTCCATTATTTGGTTTCATAGGGATTCGTATACCTTCCTCATTGAAGTAGTAAAGAAAATTCGCTTAAGTGCCGTTTTCGGTTAAGTGCACAAGTTTTTCGTGCAAAGAAGGATGGGCAGCTAAGCAAAATATACTGTAATTTATTTTCTTCCCCATCCCTGCCTCTTACGTGTCTGTGTACATTTCAATTTCAGTTGCCTTTCAAACATTTAAGCGTTTGTTAGTGCTTGCTTCTGCTACTTACACGCATACTTCTGTAAAGGAAATGTAAAAGTATATATCTGTGGTCATAAGCAATAACCGCCTAAGTCGGAAAGCCTGAATTCGAGAAAAAACGTTTTAAACTTTTGGATTGTATTGTTAACCTTATGGGGAAACCAAAATATGTACGTCAATAACTTTTTAAATAGCCTAGCTGGCGAGATGGGGATTTCACATATATGTACATGGAATAGTAGTTGCAGAATAACTCAATTATTTCTTAGGTCGACTTAGGCGGTTATTGCTTATGCAGATATATGATGTCGACAACAAACTAAAATGCAAATAGTACGTATGTACATTGCAGTAGCCCCGGATAAGGTATTTTCACAAAAAATACTGTTTTCTTGAACACAAGACAGGAACGTATACACTGACGGAGAGGGGACATACATCAGTACCTAAATCTGGCGAAAATTAAGAAAATATTTTGATAAAGTTATCTATAGTGACCTAGCTCTACTATGTGTTGCAAGGCCAATGTCAAAAATTATTAGGGAAAAATTACAACTTTTGTCCAGCCGAACATGTCTCAACGAAAGTTAGCATAGCAGTTTTACTCAGAAGAATCCAGTGCCGGGTTTTTCCTAAAGCTCAGAAGGCCCGGACCTAGGGCGTCGGGCCAAATTATTACAAATAGTTTATTCTAGACTTAGAAGACCAATTTCCACTTTCGTACTCAGTGCAGTATAAACAAGTAAGAAAGTCTAAGTTCGGGTGGAGCCGAACATTAAATACCCGGCGCAAGTATTAAATATATAGTGGTATTCGCGCTTCAGTGTATTCGCTGTAGCCTGCGTAAGTGTGTAGCAACAACAAATCACACGCTCATGCAGTTACGATTACACAACATACAACGAATACACATAAGAGCGCATTCCCCTTATGTTTTTTCACCTTTCCGAAACCTACCGCTAGAGGGTAAGCCGAAGTGTATCAATTTTGAGTAAATTAGCGTCCTTAAATTTCGAAATATTGCAGTTTCAAGCATTTATGAAATTTACCGTTATATGGAAAGCGGCCGTAATTTTATGTGGCAAGCACAACAAAAATACCGAGTTTGGTACAAATTGATAGAACGGTTACCGATATACATATATGTGGTCATAAGTGGGCGGTGCCACGCCCATTTACCAAAATTTAACCTTAAACGTATTTCTTGGTAAAGAATTGTTGCGAGCATCAATTTTGAATAAGTTAGCTTTAATATTTACTGAGTAATACTATGTCTCCATTGTGAGATTTAATGAAGATTTAGCCCTCTGACGAGATTTGACGTTAAATCTTTTGAGATTTACCATATAAAATTAAATCTCGAAAGGCAGTAGATTTAAGTTAAATCTTCGTCAAATCTTCAATAATATTGATCAATAAGTACAATTTGTTGGATGTGGCAACCACAAATTCACATGCCATAAGTCAAATGACATTTGTGTTTTCAATATACAGTTGAGGACATTGAAATCTAGCCTATCATAAAAACATGAATTTTCGTATTTTTAGCGATTTTTATATTTTTGTTAGTTTGGGAGGAAAATTAC